AGAGCTTAATTCTAAATGAAAAAACCCACCACTGACTTTTGAGACACAGACTTAGACCAGACCATGAGAACCCACAAATGTTTAGTCCCTCACTCTGAGTGGTCACAGGCTACCCCAGATTTCAGTAGCAGATGAGCTTGGACAAACTCAGATTCTGGCTTCAAGGTCATTATCTTGTCTTAAACACAACTTCCAGGGTAAGAACTGAGATCTAGAAGAGCTCCATTGGGGATGCAGGCTCTGCCCCCCCCCCCATAGCTCAGGCACTCACTTCCTCTTGGACAAATCAGGCTACTAACTCTGTCAGCATCTCTGCATCTAGTCTCCTGAAAGTGTCCTTCCCTAAAGCTACAAGCATTAGCCTTTTTCTTGGAGGTCCAGACCCATCCTGTGCTGTTCACAGGTGACCCAGATGCCCATATCTACACCACTAGTCCCACCTTGGAGTCTCACTGATGACATTTCAGCTTCACAAACAGTCATCAAATATTACCAGCTTCATCGGCCAGAAAAAGGATGGTAGTCCACTGAATAGACAGGATTTCAGGGTGTCCTTAGCAGCAGCCATTGCAGAGTCTGTGCAAAACAGGGTTCCAGGACAAACATCTCAGCTGGAAGACTAAAGGGGACAAAGGACTAGTGAACATCCCACTTTGCCAACAGTGTAGTTGGGATTCAAAACCTCAAGGCCAAGGCCAGTATGATCCATCTGATCCCTGAACCTGACTAGTTCTTGAGGAACAGGGCCTGCCTTTCCATACATACAGAAGCCACTGCTATATGAGAAGCTTCTTGAGTTGTTCACATCAGCTTCAATGAGTAGTCAACATGAATACCCACATCCTCCCCAGGTTCCCCCACTGCATCCCTCTTACCATTTGGACTGAAGGAGGCCTTGCTTGGAGATCTTGTGAGCAGAAGCCTGGAAAAACTTTCTAATCCCAGTTACAACAACCAAAACTATCTCCAGGCATTTCTGAAAGTTGCCTGGGGTTTGGGGTTTGGCAAATTCAGCCCTAGCTCAGAGCCCCATAACTCAGGGTATCTTATGGATGCAGTATATTTGAAGACTCAGCCTTGTGTTCAGAAGTATACTCATTGACGGTGCACACCAATGCATCAGCTGTGTTTTCTAGCATATTTGGCTGCCAAATCTTTGATGTTTTGGTGTTGATGTTCTGAAAAGACATTCAGACCTACCAGGTGCCTCTTGACCTGTGAGATACATTACCATGGACACATTTCAGACTGTGTCCTGCCATAAACCAGAGCTGATTATATTATCAGTGTGGCCACTGGAGAGCTGGGGGAGCAGCCTGCAAGGGTGGGCAGAGGATCTTTAGGTCCTGGTGGGTAGGGACTGCCTGTGGGAAGCCTGTGCCTGGCATAGCCTTCCCCCCAAATCTGTGTAACTGAACTCCCTTCTCTGTTCTTTCCCCCCAGAGACTATTTTATCATCTGTCCCATGGTCAACATGGCCAGCCTCTGGGCAAGGAGAACCCGTGGAAACGTCTTCATGTATCATGTCCCTGAAAGCTATAGCCATGGCAGGTAAGGTGATCGATCATATAGTCAGAGAAGGCTATTTGGGAAGGATCCATGTCAGCACTGTGATCCACAAAGAGGAAAAATAAGCCAGGACAAGGACAAGGCACAACCTGCTTCTCTGTGGTTTAGGATAGAGCTTGACCATGTTATGCCTTGGTTTCATCATCTGCAAATGAGGCAGTGGTATTAGGTACTCTATTCCATGCTATGGCTTTCTGGGAGAATAAAGTACAAGATCTGTTCACCGTGGAGAACTTGGAGCTCTGACTTCACTTACTCATTGGTCTCCTGGACATGGAGAAAGCCTTTTCATTTGCTAGTATATTATGTGTTTATAACTCTAAGAACTGACTTTCTATAGTAGGAAGCATTTGTTGTTCGTTTCTTTATTTGATTTCATATTTTCTTACCCTGTAGCTCAGGCTGGCCTTGAACTCACTATATAGCCCAGGCTTGTCTTGGACTCTCATCAGTACTTTTACTTTAGCCTCTCAAGCACGAGGATAGCAGGCACAAGCTGCCAAGTCCAACTGAAAGGTTTTTGTTTAGCCCAATTTCTCTATCATCCTTACTTCCAGAAGAGGTCCAAGCACCTAGTAATAAAAGCGCTGGGGGAGAGATATAAGAAACACAAGTAAAAAAAAAAACAAAAACAAAACAAAACAACTGATGGAAAGGAAAGACTGTAGTAAGGATGCCAGGAAGGGAGGAGAGATAAGAACATGAATGAAAGGGTTTGGAGGGAGGGCTGTGTGATCCAGGTTCTACATCTGCTCTTTCTAAGTGTGGAAATCTCATTCGAGCAGGAAACAAAATGTCTGCATTAAGTAGCATCTGAATAGCAACTTCACACAGCAGCCCTTGGGTATAAGACCTTGAAAGGAGAGGCATCCTGGTGTCAGCCTTAGAGTCTTTGGAGCACGTGGTTCCACAACTTGTGGTCTTTCACCCAGTGAAACCGAAGCAGTGGTGTGTGCAAACAGGTGACTTGATTTTCATGGCACTCCATGGAGACACGTGGAGTGCAGTGAAGGCGGCAGGCGCTTGTCCCTGTTTCAATGAGGGCATCTTGATCCAATCGGGCTGCGATTATAAAGTACAAACAGCACAGATTTATCGCTTACAGTGGTGAAGGCTGAACTCCAGACTCAGACGAAAGACTCCAGCATCCCGGGTGTCTATTGAGGGCTGGCACCCTCAATAGAAGGCCCCTCTGCCCAGGAAGGAGAATGAGCTTCCTGGGGCCTTGTTTGTTCTATTCATACTAACCTTGTGAATTAGTCCCTCAAAAGCTCAGCTCTTAAGACCAACACACTTGGGAATAGTCTTAAGCTTCTGAGTCTTGGGGGCCCACTACACATACCTGCACCAGTGAATCTGGGGTTCAAGGGATTCAGTGTGTTCTCCCCTACTCCCAAGATGAGCAGCTGGGTCCGTGCAGAGCAATGGCTGTCTTTGCCTCTACTGTCTTGAGACCTGCTTTCACCTCGACCACATGGTCTGTCTGCTTAGAGCTATTTGTAGTTTCTACCATGCCCACCTCTGGAGCCAAACACTGGCCTGGGGTTGAGGTAAGGAGAGTAAGTAGTTCACTGTAGCTCTAATGGGGGAACATGAGAGGAATATTGAAGGCACTCAGGAGTGTGGGAGCAGTAGATGGAGCCTGTGGCCCAGTGGTCTGTAGCCACTGTGGCCTGGAAGCCAATCCCAGAACATGTTTCTGGAATCAGCCCTGGCTGTGCCTTGCAGTGCCAGGCCCTGGATTCATGCCACTCATGGCTCTCTGACCAGTATTTGCCTTCTTCCCAGGAAGTAGAGAGGTCATGGAAAGGTGGGGGGCCCCCACAGCAAGGAGCCTTAAGAAGCTTGTATCAAAGAAAAAAACACCAACACGCACAGAGTTCCAGCAGAGTCAGGAGGGCGTAAACCCTGGGTTATTTCAGAGGCTTCCCTGGGGAGGGCCCACAGGCTGTGTGGCCTTGGAAGGAGCAGAATTGTACTGTCTCATGTTTGGGAGGTCTGAGGGCTTCTGTGCAGATGTCAGCAGGGATGAACTCCTCCATGGGTTCTGGAAAGGGTGTGCCAGTTCTCTCTAGCCTCTGGCTGCCTCAGGTATTGCTTACCAGCAGAAGGTAATCTTCTTCCTGTTTCCCATCGCTCCTCCACCATTGTGTGTGTTTGTCCCTGTGCCCAAATCCCCCTTTCTTGCAGTGACACCAGTCCTGCTTGGTCAGGGTATATCCTAACAACCTCACTTTAAGTCATCCAAGGAAAGACTGTCTCCAAGCATGGCCCATTCTGAAATACTGAGGTAAGAACTCCAATGTCTCTTTTGAAGGGGACACTCCAAGAGCACTGACCTCCTACAAATCACAGAGCCCTGCACTGGAGGCCTCTGGTATCAAGGACCTGAAGTGGATAGTCCTTCAGGGAAGGACTCAGGTACAGCCAATGGCACCCTCAGCCTCCCAGGTTGGCCAGGGCTTTTCTCTGCTGTTTGGCTTACCTGTCCCTCTGAGGACTTGCAGACATGTCCCTTGTGATAATCTAAGAATCGATCCCTGGAAGGGCCACATGCTGTGCCAGATTCTGAAGGGTCTAATGGTTCCCAATACCTCAGCCTGAGGCCCTGTGTTCAAGGAAGGATTTGATAAGGACTCACAAGACTGATAAAAGACTGAAGTCAGAAGCCGAGCCACCCCTCTTGACATGGGTGAGCCAAGCCTGCACTTTCAGTATTTTGGCTCCCTGGGGCTGGTTCTGCGGTTTGGGGTAAGCAGATGGTGAGCCTGGAGGACAGCCTTCCCTAAGATCTATGAAAATTGGGTTCCATACCCCAGTGAGATAAGGAGTAGGCATGCTTTCTCAAATCAGCCCTGGCTGTTTACCCACAGCCTGAGCTCTATAATCCTCAAGGCTGCCCTATCATTTGTTACTTTCCTCTGTCTATCCAGAGGAAAGACACCGAGACATTTGAGGTACAGTGGCTATACTAAAGCCATAGAAGCTTTAGTGCTGGTGACAGGCAAGGACTCCAGCATCTGCTGCTACTTAGAAACACTCCCTTGACTATCATCAGCTAGTGAACTGAGGCAAGTCATATGGTCTCCTTGATGACTCGGTTTCTTCATCTGAACAGTGAGCACAGGAGCAGGGCCATTCAGTAATGGATTTGTGTAAACCTGGGCCTGAATAAATTTAGACCATAAGACTTCTACTGTTCTTGGCTCTCAGAACACACTCCTTATAACCTCCATGCTCCCCTGTCACCACAGTCGTAATGTGGAGCCATCAGCAGAGTAGACACTGAAGATACTGAGCAGATCAACAAAAGAACTCCATATTTCTGACAAGGTTTTGTTGTTATTGTTGTTGTTGCTCCAAAATAGACCTCTCTTCCCCACAACTTCCTTCTTCCTCTCTACCCCTCCCCCTCTCCCCCATCTTCTCCGCTTCCTCCCCTTTTTCTTCCCTCTTCTGTCTGCCCTGGAGCTGTCTCTTCTCTCATTTTATTTTTGGCTCTGATCTACACATTTTGTGCATGTGTGTGTGTGAGTGAGTGTGTTTGTGTGTTACATTCTCCACCGTCTGTCCCACGCCTCTGTTCAGCTAGCATACACTAGCTTTGCTGGTGAGTGCCAGAAAGCAGAGGCCCTACCACCCCCTTCCTTATAAAGCACTGCTCAGATGTTCCAAAATGACAGTGTGGCGCTCTTGTGCCCACTGCCTCATGGGTAAGCTGTCAGTACTACTGAGGACAGGAGAGTTGTGATGCCAGGGCGGGGGGTGGAGAGAGAGGGGAGGGCAGAAAATCCAAAACCTGCAGAATGAGAGAAATGGCTCAGGTCCAGAGTCAAAGTTTGAAAGATAGATTCTCTTAGGCCTTCATTTTACCAGTACAGAAGCAAAAGCCCAGGGAGGTAACCGGGTGCGTTTCATTCTCACAACCAGCAGCCTGAACTCTCACCTGTCTCTGAAGTCTCCTCTGTTCTCTTTCAATTACACCCGCTTCAGCCAAGAGTAGATTGCATAAGTCTATACTGAGCTATGCCCTGTTCGGCCTTGGACAACTCACTTAGCCTCTCTGGGTCTCCGGGCAAATACCTGAGAGAAGGATACCTGTCCCACAGAGCTTCTGAGAAAGGCGATGGAAATGGGGCCTAAGAAAACCCTGTTCTGAGGCTTGCCTATGTTGTGAGAAGGGGCATGCCCATATACATACACACATCCATACATGCATACATCCATACATATACACACATACATACATACATACACACACATACATGCATATATACATACATACATACACACATATACATACGTACACACACATACAATCATACACACATACATACATACATACATACACACATCTGGCAGACTTTGAATACCAAGGCTGTAGATGTGAGGGAAACTCGCCATGGCTTTCACTCTGTCTCTTCCCTTTTATTGGCTGTTCTTATCTGAGCAACTTCCCTCAAAGTTGTTGTTCCTGCCCTTGAAATGGGTGTTGTTTCTTCCACTTCATCTTTGGAGTATGAGGACTAAAGATAATACATGTTCAATATTTAGCACTCTGTCAACCTTTAATGTTTGGTAAGTAGCATTGGGTTATTTTAAGGAACAAACCAAACCGTGCTATGAAAAAAGTCAGTAAAAATGACTAAGAAAGCCACATTCCTCCTTAGACATTGCCCAGCTGTGGGAAACAGTACTGTAAATCTCAGCCTTGAAATGTTTGGAACACCACTGGTCTGCATTCTAGACAGTTCTGCACATTCCAGAGGCCCTGCCCAATCCAGATCCAAAATGCTGTCTCTTCAGCTGGCTATCTCGGTGACTTTGCAGGAGCTGACAAACCGAAAACATAGAGCTGGATTCTTGAACTGGCTCCATGGGCCACATCCTGTGTGATCTTTATGATTATCTCCCAGGGTGAATGAAAGCCAGTCTCTCCTGACACTGCCCACCCCACCCCCACTCTGTTCTCCTCTCCCAGTCCACAATCCTCTTCGACACTGACTTCACAGATACTTGCCTAATACCAGACTAACTACAGAGAGCAGGCCCAGCAGCTGCACATGAGTTCAGGTGACTGACTCAGCAGTGCCAGGAGGAAGGAGCCCTTAGGTGCTGGACTCAGCACAGAGGAAAGGACCTTCTAAAATGTCACATTTGAGCTTAGAACCTGAAGGAAAGTGAATAGTGCTAGTGCAATGGTGAACAATGAGTTAATGTCCTCCCCTCCCCAAAATGGTTGTCAGGTGTCAGGGCCCTGAGGTGGGAAAGCATACGTGTCTATGGCTAAAGAAGAAGCCTGGGAGCCTGGGTCTATGGGAGGTGAGGAGACTGCCTGGAGGGGTGAGGAAGATAGGTAGGTCTTATCACTTTCATAGGCGTTTACCTGAGTGTGACAGGAATGTCATCGAACTCAGTGGCTCCTTTTGTTGTTTTGTTTTGTTTTTTCAAAGACATATAATGTACAATGCACAATGATCTTTTCATTCACACCTGAAAACATGGCTCACAGAAATGCTGTATCTTTTGGCGATTATTTTTGGGGCATAAAATAAAAGCCCCATTGGACAATATAGTGGTCAGTTAATTTATACTCGGTGAACTTGTGAGAAGTGATCAGTGCTGTGAGGTGTGGATTTTCACCTTTGAACCTGTGCACCTGTGTTCGGCTCCTTCCTGCTCCGTTTTGAAATTAGAGGCCTACGTGGGAAGATGCTGTCTTCAGATCCTCTTCTGAATTTCCTGCGAACAGTAAACATAATGTGTGTTCCACTATTTGATTTCTAGGCTGGGCCTCTTGAAAGTGGAGTATCTGCATGACAGACAATGAGTTTAGTTATCCCCCCACACACATGCATACACAGTAGCTCTTGGCAAACACTTAGCCTGAATGCTGAGAAAGTGTGTGGCCTGGAAAGTTCTGCCCTGTGCTGGTGACACTTTATGGAAGGAGTCAGATGTCCAGTTTAATCCATCCAGTCAGCTAGAAGCTGTGACTGTTCCACGGAGCAGTGTACCAACAGCTCTGCTGGGCTCTGGGGAAGGCCAGCAAAACTACTGCACTATGGGTAGTTTCTGAGCTGGAGATAGTCACCTCCAGATCACCATGACTGTAAGAACTTCTCCTGGTAAGTGGAAGAGACTGAATGGGAAGCTCACCTTTAACAGGCTTCACAAGAACACATGTGGTCTGTGAGGTCCATGGTGACCTCCTGATGCATTCAGCAGAAGGAGCATCATGTTCTCAGGTCAGATGTGCTCAAAGAGAGGCACTCCTGCTCCAGCATGAGCTGTGTGCTTGCCAAGACTGCCATGTCTCAAAAGGAAGTGAAGAAGCCATGGAAGCAAGACTCCTCTCCACCCCGATTTCCTTCACAGGCAGGGCTGTTGGGCTGAGGTATATATGACTATGAAGTCATCATGCTTCCTCTCACAGAAGGAACGTCAAGATCTCTGTGGTCACAGACTCAACCCCAACCCTGTGGTTTGGGTACAGTGAGCCTTTCCCTGTCAGAAGGATGATGACTTCCAGCACACAACCTGTCAGAAATGTCGTCACTATCCTTCCCTCTTGACTAGAGGAGAGCCCAGCTAGGTCACCTTCCTGCTGAGGGCATTTTTTAGAGATCTTTGGGAACAGCAGCAATACTGACACTACTGCCTGCTGAGCTGCGTAGGTTGTGGCTCCTGGAAGTAGAACTCATGTCCAAAGTCAGCAGTGCGTAGTCCCTTCAGTATAACCGCACTTTGACTCCCTGGGAAGGGCTTGTGCTGAGCAGGGCTGAGTGGTAAGGCCAGAGATCTCAGGTGAACAAAGCCAGGTTCTGTCCTCACTGGACAGCAGCAGTGGTGGCTTTACCTCAGATCAGGCTTCTTTCCATGGCTCATGGCCATGGTCAAAGGTTCACTGGCTTGAATGCTACCCAAATTCCCCGTCTTTTCAGGCCTGAACTGAAAAGCATATTGTCCATCAGCAAGCATATTGTCTGTCACCCTTCGGAATTTTCCTAGAATAGAATAATGACCCCTTTTGATGTTCAACATGGCACACTTGTCAGCATAGATGTGAAACCTAGAGACCCATTGCCTACTAGAAATTCATTTCAATCATGGTGTATATTTACTGAACACCTATCAAGTGTCAGGTGCTAGCGTGAACTACATGGACAAAAGTCAACCTCAAAGATCTGGGATGTTACAACTTACAGATAAAGGGCCAGTGCAGAAGAGAATCAACACACACCACTTTTTATGAATTTGCTCACTGAAGAACATCGAATGACAATATAGGCATTGTAGCTAGAATAGGGTCAAAGTATCATCCTGAAACATCTCCAGGTCATCATTTCTCATCAGTAGGTGAACCTCAGCCACCAACTGTGCCATGGGTCTGCTCCAGACCAGATTGGATGCATGCTAAGTGGGGTGTCACACTAGACAGGAATCCTACATGGAACATGAAGGATTTTGTTACATGTCTTTTGTTTCAGTTGGAGGACTGGTAAGTTTTGGCTCATGTTTGTCACCTCATACCTCTTGCTTCTCTTTCCCTATCTCCTCAGCCTGGACTTGCTGGCAGATGTTCAGTATGCTTTTGGACTGCCTTTTTACTCTGCCTACCAGGGCCAGTTCTCAACAGAGGAGCAGAGCCTGTCCCTGAAAGTCATGCAGTATTTTGCCAATTTCATTAGATCGGGGTATGTATCCCACTGCTCTCCTGACTCCTGTCACATGCTCCCTTTCATTCCCACAGCTGAATAAAAGGGCCGTACTTTATCAGTCACTCAACCTGACCATAAGAACTACAATTCTCTGATACCCTTTCCCTGGTTTGGCCTCACTGTTTCTAACCAATCTTTGTGTAGATAAATCATGAAGAAAGCTTCCAGTTTGAGTTCTTTCTTGCTCAGACATACTGAGAGCAACAGGCAGCTTCTATAGTGTCTGTACTGTTGACACCTGAGACCAGCTAAGTTGTGTATTCTATAGGATAATTGACAATGTCCTTGGCCTTTGCCTATCAGACACCAACAGTATATACTGTGATGTTTGATTTACATAGCTGTGGTAAAATATCTGACAAATACCTTATAGGAGGAAAGGTTTACTTGAGGTCCCATTTCCAGATAGTGTGTCCTTGGTTGTTTTCTCTAATGGACAGTCCATCATGGCAACAGAGGTATGTGAGGGGAGCTTCTCTACCTCATGGAAGACAGGAAAGAGAGAGAGAAGGGGTACAGTCGGGAGCAACAAGGCTCATGATATTCCCTGAATTCATTCCCCACTGATCTATTTCCTCCAGGAAGGCTTTGCCTCTAAAGATCCAAAATGTCTCATGATAGGCTCACCAGCTGGGAACCAGGCATCCAGTACATAAACTTGTGGGGAACATTTTATATCCAAAACATAGCACCCAATCCTGTTCTAGTTATGAAAATTAAAAAAAAAATTGTCTCTGACAGCCAGGCATAACAGTATTACCTGTCACCCAAGCCCACAGGCTCAGGCAGGAGGATTGGGATTTTCAGGCTAGTCTAATATACATAGAAAGACCTTGTCTCAAAAAGATAAAATATTTTTCGAAAGTCTCATTGCCCAGTGTCCCTTGTAGGACAGACCAATGGGAGAAGAACCTTTCTGTTCCCCATGGGTGTACTGATGTCAGCTGTAGTGTGCCATCCTGGTATTCTGGAGCCCCCACCTCCTCCCCAGAATCCTCTGGTCCAGTCCTGTGGTACACCACTTCCCAGATACTCTGTTCCTTTCCACTGCTGGTAGTTTATATACTTCCTATATCTCTTTGCCTTCCCCCAGAACTTGTATAGTTCCCCGGGAAAGAAAGAAACATCCTGGCACAGCTACAAGCTATTAACAACCTCAAACAGTAAAACCAAGTGTACTTCAAAGAAGAGCAAATAGAGCTTTCTGACGTTTGCTGTGGAAGTCAAAGGGACAGGGATATTTCTTATTAGTGTTTTAGAAAATGTTTTTCTGAGGAAGCAGCATCTACACAGGACTTCAAACCATTCAGATGAGCTAAGGGAAACTGCTTTCGGGAATGGGTGATCTGAGCCACGGCAGGTGGTAAGGAAGCACTCTTGCTATGAGCATGGGGGCTTGTGGGATGGGGAATCAGCTTTAGTGAGCAAAATGAGCAGTAATGAAGGCATCTGGAATACAATGATAGCATGGATGCCTTTAGGAAGCTTCCAGAAGAGTGAGCTAATGACTGACATGAGTATCGATCTTTCTTAAAAGTAGAGAAACTACCATCTTTCTAACATGGAATCTTTCTACATTTCTACCTTGGCTGATATCTGCACCCAGATTCATGCAGCTTGAAGGAGGACACTCAGTTTTCCTAGGATAGCTTCCATGGGAGGGATACTTTGAGGAAAAGTTTAGAATGGCAGTTTTCTCCCTATGAGTGGAGAGTGAATCACGCGAAAAGAGATGTTAATGTGTTTTAGATTCTCAACTCTGCTCTGAGATTCTGAGGCCAAATGACTTTGCAGACAAAATAAACTTCCATGGAACCCTACAGCCTAGAGATAAATCTGTTGTCCTGATAACTCTGGGAGGCTATGATTATTCTTTCATGTGTCCTTAGGGTATGGGTTGCAAGGAGCCTCTGACCCTACTTTCTAATCCAGAGCTTGAATGAGCAAAAGCCTTTTAGAAAGTGGGGATGGCATCCAGATCAGAGGACATCAAAGTAGAAGGGGTTAGATCGACCTCCTAAACATTCAGAAAGACCGGGTCCAGAGTAGTGTCACTGAGTCATGAATTGGATATGACCTGTCAGCAGTGATTTCAGAAAGCATTTGTGGCCCAGTGCTTTATAATGCCCAGCTACAATTCCTAGTTGAAAGCTGGACCAAATGAGTTCCCCCCCTAGAACTCAAAGTTGAATGATTTGCCCTTGAAGACCAGAACAAGTAGGATGTGATACCAAGTATTAAGAAGAAAGATGCATTTCCCCCAGAGACATTGCTTTCTTCTCATTTCCCTAGAAATCCCAACTACCCACATGAATTTTCAAGGAAGGCAGCCGAGTTTGCAGCACCCTGGCCTGACTTTGTCCCCGGAGCTGGAGGAGAGAGCTACAAGGAGTTCAGTGCCCAGCTTCCCAATCGGCAGGGCCTCAAACGAGCTGACTGCTCCTTCTGGTCCAAGTACATCCAGTCTCTGAAGGATGAAGGTAAGAAGTGCCCTGGAAGACAAGAATTTGTGAGTGGCATGGACTCATTGCCTACTGATTGTAGGCAATGATTGCTGTAGGTTGGCTTACACTGTACATGGAGGCCACCAGGTCACTGGGAACTGGAGGCACAGCGCCTCTTCATGAGGTGCACACAGTCCCAAGATGGTTGCTGCCAAGAGCCTCCTGTTCTGATGGGAGAGATGAGGGGAATCAAGGGTACGGCTGAAGGAGAGGACACTGGACACCGGAGGGAGGGAAGGGCATGTGACCCTTGAGTGATAAATGGCTGCCAGCTTCTAGCCAGTAGCTGTGGTACAGGGAGAAAAGCATCTTTAAGTTCTCAGGAAAATCTCAGGAAAGAGAAGTGGTCAGGTACAAGATGGCATTCCCACCTCCTGCTGTTGGGTTTAAGGGGTAAAATTGGACCACAGTGTGATATTAGGACTGTACAAATACTATGATATCCTTAAGAAACTTCCAGGAGAGTAAGAAAACAAATGGCACAAACCAGTGAATGCCCTTCCTCTTTCTTGTTACTGGGATGGATGTCTGTTACCCGAGAGACTGAGGGTATTCCAGAACAGGGATGATTTGGGGGAAGGTCAGGAGTGACAATTTGGCAGGCAGACAGGGAGAGGCAGAACATCAGAGAAGAGACCTTTGTCTAAAGTGTTCTAGACTCTCAACTTGCTTTTAGCTTCATGACCAAGTGAGTTATCTTCAAGTATCGCTGTGCTCTTAGTATGTCCCTGAAACCTGGAAACAAATCTGATATCTCTGGGGCAATGCTAGGGAATGAATGTAAGGCTGGTGTCTTTTAACAAACGATTGATTCTGGATCAACTTACCTTACTTTCTATTTCAGACGGAGCCAAGGATGTACAGTTAACGAAGAGTGAAGAGGAAGGCTTGGCAGTGGGGCTGGGACTGGAAGAAGACTTCTCAGCCTCCCTGGAGCCTGGCCCCAAGAGCTACAGCAAATGATCAGCCCTGAACCCACCCACCCTGCCAGTTCCATCCCAAACTGTCCGTCTGGTGATTTTAAAACAAACATTTGCTTTTAATAAAGTGTCTGCATACAATGAATCATTGGTGATTCTGAGCTGTGATTTCAAAGCATTTCTTGGTGACACTACACAAGTGTCAATGTAAATGTTCTTGACATTTGGCTCCCAGGTTACTGGGTTGTCAACAATATTCATACAGCATCTACTCTGTCCCTCAAAGAGAGAAAGTCAGGCAAACAATATTGCCACAGAAGGGGGGAGGCTCTGTCAAAGGCACGGGCTCTAGAGAGACAGTCTCATCTAAGAGAAGGAAATTCCACAATGTAAATAGAACAATTACGTCTGGGAAAGCAGTACAGCAAGAGGCAAGGAGGTCTGAACCCATGCGTGATGGAAGAGATGGATGGAGCAGGAGGTAGACCTGAAGAGACTTAATTGCATGTGAGTGTGTGCCAGGAAACAGGATCAGCAAGCTCCAGGAGAAGAACCTTGTTTCTCCTTAACCTCCCTAAATGAGCACAGGTGTGAATTTCTCTCTCTCTCTCTCCCCCCTTTCTGTGTGTGTGTGTGTGTGCGTGTGTGTGCGTGTGTGTGTGTGTGTGTCTCACACACACACATGCACACACACAGGCTAAGTTGGAACAGGGGGAATTTGTTAGCACTCTCTGTCATTTACGTGGCACATCATGAAATGTGTTCACGCCCGTCATCTCACTTGAGTACAGATCAAATTCAGTGTTGCCTTGCAGGCTGGATGGGGCTCAGCAAGGCTAGCAGGGTGTTTGGATTCATAAAAGAGTAGGGGAGGGAGGTGGAGTATAACTAGTCCCATGCTTTAGTGTGTTTCGATGGCTTAGGGCAAGTCTTTGGTGCAATGGCCCCCAGCCTTGGCTTTCTGTTAGACTTACCTGAGGACTTTTGAAAACACCAGTACCCTTGTTATAGCAGGACTGAATTAGGTAGTTTGGGGAGGCAGGACCCAGATATTTGGGGACATCAGTGTACCCAGCAATGTCTACCCCTCTCACTCTTACCAGTCTTTGGTTTCTTTGTATAATGAGTCACTAGAATGCCTGTCATTTCGGATGTCAAAGAGCAAAAACAAGAACTGAGCCTTAACAACTGTGTGTATTCCTATTTTCTGTGCCACTGCCTACTGTTTGCCTGGCTTTTGCCTGTTTGTCCAGAGTGACATGACTCTTGTTTTCCCAGCACTCAGTACAAGGCCCAGTGCATGATGGCTACTCCTTATAATACATGATAGGAAAGTTCCACCATCAGATGGATCAATTACATTTATGGGGTGAGCAACATTTACCAAGGTATGAAATAGAAGCACTCCAATTTCCTCACTACTTCCTGTTTGTCCATTTGCAGTAGGCACTGTAATGTCCCCTCCAAAGCCATGCCAGTCTACTCCCTGGAGCTCAAGGCGGCATGTAGAATTATAGTTGGTAACCAGCTGTCCTTAAGTAGCCCAGTATTACCTATGCAGATTCATTACCATGTTAAGAGTCATTCAAAGTAGGCTGAGAAGGCAGAAGAGAGGATCCAACAGAGCATGACATGAAAATTACTTGTCTCAGCATTGGTGGTTTTTAAGATGGAGGGAGTGGGATGTGGACAAGGAAATATGTGAAGCTTCTAGAGACTGGAAAGAGCAAGGGGATGATTCTCCCCCTAGGGCCTCCAGAATGGAATACATCTTGATGGAATGTTTTCAGCCCACTGGAGCTTCATGTTGGGTTTCTGACCTATAGAGCTATAAAGCAGTGGACCTGAAAGATGGTAGTAATTGTTACAGCAGCCATTTAAAACTAATGCATCATTATGCCTTTTCAATATATATCATCTCCTGTCCTTGACCAAACCACAGGCATAGCTAGCTCATAGTTTTAGTAATAATAAAAAGTCTACTCTAGCTCAGTACTGAAATTCCAGATCTACCAGCCCCTGAAAATGGATAGACCCCATTCTACCACCTGGTTGGATTAGAGAATGGGCCAAGGGTATAGAACACTTTGACTGTCCCCATGAGCCCTGCATTTGTTTGTGGTTGGGCACTGCAGGAGGACATCTGTTATTTGATTCCCATTCTTTACAACCTGAGGAGGGGAAAAATTGCTACAGTGATAGCATCTGCTTGGTAGATTGTCCTGCTGACTGAAGAAACTAGTACATGTGACCAGGGAATCGTGAAACAGTGTTCACAGGTCTTTGAAGTTTATGGTGAATCTTGGGTAGTTTATGTGCTAGTCCATGGAAAATGTAAAGAGAAGCTTCAAAGGCCAAGTCATCACAGTCCTGACCCATGCAGCTCTGGAGAAACTTGAACAGCCAAGTGTATGGTCAACCTGTAGGAGAAGCTTCAGAGCCAGGAGCCCTAGACTGCTCACCATGCAGTTTCTCAGGAAATGGTGTCATAGAGGTTGTGTATTCCACCCCTATGAGCAGAGAGGACATGACTATATGTCTCAGTGACACAGGTAACTATAGTGAAACACTTATCAACCTGTTACTCCACTTGGCTTGAGCTATGGGTACCCCCCCCTCAATGTGCCTAGTGACCTGTCATCAACACAGGTCCCAGGCCTGCATAAAGCTGCCTGGGTCCCTGCTTTAAACCATGCAAATAAACCACCCACCCACCCCCCTCCACAATCCCTCTGTAACTCGCCATCTCTAGTAGAACAAATACTGGAACACATTCAAGAAGCTGGCTTGGTATGCATATGCAAAAAGGCAAAACTATGTCCCCAATTATTTAGGGATAACCACCTATTTCCCATCTGTGTATAAATGGATATGTATATTGCTAAAATCAGATGCATTATGGAAGGGATATGTTCAGTAGAGAAATGATCATGTAACTTGATTGGCAAAGAACCACCCAAACAATGCCTCTCAGCAACCAAACTTCTCTTCCTCTTGAACATAAAAGGAAACTTCAAACTGCATTTGAGGCCTGTTGTCACTCTTGATATTGTATTTTCGGACCTGTTACCATTGCTTTGCCTTTGCATAGTTTCTTGCTACTCTGCAATCTGTGTGGCCACTTATTATATTCTTGAATAAAAGGCTATGAACCTGGAAACACCCAAGCCAGCCCCTGACCATGTCTGATAACTTCAGCTGAATGTTGAAGGCCTCTCTTTTTTACATATATAATGTCATAAAGTAAAACGGATGGCATTTATTGGAAAGATCAAAATGATAAATCCTCTTGCAGAAAGACCAAGGTGATGGACATTGGAAAAGGAAGAAAACAGGCTACAGACAGAAGCCTACAACAGAGGGCCATTGAAAGATTTTACCCAGCAAGGTATCGAAGGAGATGCTGAGACTCATAGCCAAACTTTCGGCAGAGTGCAGGGAATCCAAGGACCATGTGTGGATATAACCTAGAACCTCTGCTTGGATGTAGCCCATGGTAGCTCAGTATCCAAGTAGGTACCCTATTAAGGGGAACAGGAACAATTTCTGACCTGAACTCAATGGCTGGCTCTTTGACTTACCCCCGCTCCTTTGACCTACTCCCCTGGCAAGGAGCAGCCTTGCCAGGCCACAGAGGAGGACTTTGCAGCCAGTCCTGAAGATGCCTGATAAACCAGAGTCAGATGAAAGGGAAGGAGGTCCTCCCCTATCAATGGACTTGGAAAGGGGCAGGGAGGAGATGAGGGAGGGAGGGTGGGATTGGGAGGTAATGAGGGAGCAGGATACAGCAGGTTTACAAAGTTAATAAACTGTAACTAATATTAAAAAAATAAAAATGGAAAAAAAAAGAAAGAAAGGGAAGATAGTAAGATCTGGAGAGGGCAGGAGCTCCACAAGGAGAGCAACGCAACCAAGAAATCTGAGCACAGGGGTCTTTTCTGAGACTGATACTCCAACCAAGGACCATGCATGGAGATAACCTAGAACCTTTGCACAGATGTAGTAGCATGACAGCTCAGTATCCAAGTGGGTTCCCTCATAATGGGAACAGGAACTGTCTCTGACATGAACTCAGTGGCCTGCTCTTTGATCACCTCCCCCTGATGGGGTAGCAGCCTTACCAGGCCACAGAGGAAAACAATGCAGCCATTCCTGATGAGATTTGATAGGCTAGGGTCAGATGGAAGGGGAGGAGGACCTCCCCTATCAGTGGACTTGGGAAGGGGCATGGGAAGAGATGAGAGAGGAAGGGTGGGATTGAGAGGAGATGAGGGAGGGAGCTACAGTGGGGACACAAAGTGAATAAACTGTAATTTATAAAAATATAAATAAATTTTAAAAAATCTAGTAACAGTAATAGGTAACAGTGAAAGACTGAGGGAAAACTGTTCTATATGGGCAAATATCAGAGTGAAAGATCCCCGGAGGGTATCTTCCATCTGAGAGAGACCCCCTCCCAAGGAACAACGAGTCCATTCGGATGCAAACAGCAAGAGGCTTTTATTTTGATACACAGGGTACCCGGGGCGAAAAGTCATTCGGGAGACTTCCGAGCCTCCTTGGGGAAAAACTGAGGTTTTTATAGGGTTTTAGAGCAGAAGCACTGGTACAGAAGCGAGAGGCATGGTTACAGGGGGCTGATTGGTACGTTTACACGAGACCACAATTTGCGTCAAAGTTTGGCAGGGGCACCAAGATTCCAGGAACTGGGTGGTCAAGGGGGCTATGATGACCCCTTGACGTGGCCCGCCACCTGTTATTTTGTTTTTCTCTATCTTAACTGAAACAGTCTCACAGATATCCATGAGGGTGATTAACACAAACTGTTTTTAGTATGACTGGGGCAGCCTGACCACAGATATCCCAAGTGGGTGACACAGCTAGGATTTCTCAGTAATTTTTCAGTTTCTCATCTGGCCTTCAGAGTTTTACAAAACAGTGGTGTCTCACAAAATGGCGTTAGCTATGTTTAACTTAGGGTGAGGCAGGGGTCTTTCAAGAGAAAAATAAATCAAATTAGAAAGAGCTGGGTGTCAAGATCAA